TAGTCCCTACTTATCAGTAGGGATATGGCCTAAGACTCCCCCTAATAGATTCCTGAAACTGTGGACAGTATTGAACCCTATGTATACTTGTGCTTTTTCCTATACATACTTTATAAACTTTACTTTTTATTGTCATCAGAAAAGTCATGATGCATTATTGCAGAGAAAAATATGTCATGACTTTTCCAACAACCCAATATGTTAAGTAGAGTAAGAGATGAACAATAATTAAGAATAGAACTAAACAGAATAGGATAACTAAAATAGAAGAATTATAACAATATGCCATCATCACTACTCTTGTGCCTTGGGACCATTATTAAGTAAAATAAAGGTTATTTGAACACAGGACTACAACACAACAGTTGATCTGACAGCCAAGCCCACCAATCAGTAACAATGGGCAAAAAGTGTATTCACATGGAAATGCCCGACCAAGGGATGATCCACATCTGGGGCTGGAAGAAGTGAGACTTCTCCACACTACTCAGAATGGTGCCAATGTAAAACTTACCCATTGTTTATTTCTGAAATTTTTCCATTTAATATTTTCAGATTGTGGCTGACTACACACATACTGCTTCTAGTAGCCCTCCCTTATTTTCAGAAAGTGAAAACGTGTGGAAGGGGGGGAACTATTACTATAGATCTTATGTCTAAACACACACTATTCACCTTGAATATACTTACTACACATTTACTTCAATAATGCCATCATTAATCAAACATCTTTCAGAATATCTTCTCGTGAAGAAGACTTGAAGGCACATAATACAGTTGGCGCTCAATATTCACAGGTCTGAATCTGCAGATTCAGTGAACGTGGAATGAAAACACTGCCTTGTTGATGCATACCATGCAGTTAGGCCTACATGGTGATGTATGTTACTATTCCCTAAACGAGACAGTCTAACAACTACTTACATAGCATTTGCACTGTATTAGGTATTGTAAATAATCTACAGAGGATTTAAAAAATGTAGGAGGATGTGCCTAGATTATTAGTAAATATCATTCCATTTTATATAAGGGACTTGAGCACCTGCAGATTTTGGTTTCCTCCAGAGGTCCTGACACTAGTACCCTCCCAGATACCAAGGGATTGACTAGCACAAGATATAACCTTGTGAAAGCAGAAATACACTCAGTTTGATTACCATGCCTAGAACAGTACCTGACATATAAGAAGTATGTACTCAATACATGTTTGTGGTATTAAAAAAAAAAAAACATAGCAAAACTTCTTTTAAAAGCAGATTGCTTTTTCTTTGAAGTCAAAAACCATTCAGAGCTTAGTCTAGTCAACAAGATGTGTCATAGGCTAGAGAATGTTATTTTAGTTTAAAAAAAAAAAGTCACAGTCTGTGACTTTAAAGCAATAAAGTTTCTTGTATGAACCATAAAAATGGCTCTGCACTGGAGCCAGCAGTGAGGCTCCAGTGGAGTGGTACTTAAGGGCGTTGGACTCCCACATGGCCAACTACGGTTCGAGTTTCAGACCTGGAGGCTTTTTTTCTCACTTTCTCTCTCTCTCTCTCTGGTCAAATTAAAATAAATAACTTAATTAAATAAATAAAGTTAAATAATTCTTTAAAAAAAAAAAGATAAATAGAAATGTAAAAATGGCTTTGCACTGAGTGACTTCTTTAGAGATCTAGGGATTCACTCTCTTAATCATACAATTAGCCATGTCAAGTTTGCTCCAGTTTGAAAGCACTTGCCCCTGCTGTTTCTTTATTCCATTTAGGCTTCTATTTATGTACATTTCCTCCAAAAGGCTACCCCTCACTCCCTAAGATAAAACCAACCTGTCACTCTCTGTCCCCAGACCTTACTTTCTGTTCTTTATAGGACTTTTTATTATCTGACATATTTAATAATCTATTTTGTTTATGTGTGTTTAGTATCTCTCTGTCACTAGAATGTTAGTTCCATGATGAAAGAAGCCTGACTTGATTCACTGTTGTAGCTTCAATTTCTGCTTAATATTCAAATTGTAAATAATAACTTTAATAATTATATGTTTATAATGAAAAAGGAAAGAAGTGAGAAAAAAATGGAAGAATGAAATACAAGAAAGGTAACAGAGAAGTAGCAAAAGAGGTAGAGAAACTGGGTGAGCCAAAATTGGTTATTTCATTTTGTTATTTTGTTCTTGGTGTGAGTCTTTACTCAAGGCTTATAGACACGTTTCAGATTGGGTTGCTGTCTCTTTTGGAGATTTATTTAAAAAGAAATGACCCAGCAGTTAGCGTAATGGCTATGTCGCTGGATTCCCACGTAGTCGACCGCGGTCCGCGTCCCGGACCCGGTGGCTTAAAACTCACGCCGGGCGCGTGTGTGCCTAAGATCCCGAGAGGAGAATGGAGGAGAAGGGATTGTGGCGTGACCATCCCCCCAGGGGGTGATTTCTCGCTTTCTGTCTCTCTGCCTCTCTCTGTCTGTCTGGCGAGCGCATGCGCCCTATAGGTCTGGGGAGCCCAAGCCCCCCATAGCGAAAATCCCTCCCCCAAAAAAAAAAAAAAAAGAAAGAAATGACTACTGAGGGTCAATAGGGGGCATGGTGGTTGAGGCACTGGACTCCCATATGGTTGACCACGATTTAAGTACCAGGTCTAGTGGCTTGCTTTCTCACTCTCCCTCTCTCCCTCTCTCCATCTCTCTCTGGTCAAATTGAAGAAGAATAATAAATAAAATTAAATAATTCTTTAAAAAAAAATGGGTACCCTAAAGAAAGAAGTTTCACTAATTTTAGAAAATTTAGGTGGTGTTTACTATTATAATTAGAAAGGTCACCTCTTTTAATGTCTATCTTCCCAATCCACAAGTGCAAATTGAGTGAACATTTGGGAACTCTTCAAGTCAGGGAAATACTTGAATGATTTTTAGCAGGATTAGTTTTTGCTAGTATTCCTATTAACATTTTTAAAAATCCACTCTTAACTGACATTTAGAATTATATATTTGTATTAGGTAACTGCAGCTTTCTCAGGATCTTGTTTAACTGATATTTTACTCAGCTAGGGCTGCCCATGACAAAGTAGCATAAACTGGGTAGTTTATGAATAAAAGAAATTTACAACTTACAGTTCTGGAGGTGAAAATCTGCGATCAGGGAGCTAGTATGGTCAGGTTCTGGTGAGGACCCTCTTCCAGGATGCAGACTGCTGACCTCTCACATGGGCAAGGGTGAGGGAGCTCTCTGGGGTCTCTCATATCAGCACTAATACCATTCATGAGGGCTCCACCCGTATGACTTTATCACCTCCCATAGGTCAGCCCCTCCAAATACCATCACACTGAGAGTTGGTTTCAGCATATGAATTTGGGGGGAACACATTCAGTCCATAAAACAGGATTACATTATAAAGCCAGGAAGCAAGCCTCTGAAAATATCTGTGACTGTATTACTCTCGAACCCTCTGCCCCCACTTACCACACAAAGTTTACTTCCCTCAATGGACAGTTATCTAAGTCATATTTCATTAATGTTTTGCTTCCTCAGGCTATCTATTCCTCATACACAACTTACCAACAGGGTTTATACTAGAGAAGTTAGGCTAAAATGATGTTCCTTATGTTTTAGGATCCTGGGATGACAGAACACACCAGGTATGCCCATGGCTGGCTGAAGGTTAAAGGGAGGATTCTGGCCTGGCAAGACCCTGCCAGGGGTCCCTTTTGTCTCCCTTCTCCCTTGCCCCCTTTCCCTCCTTCCCTCCCCATCCCTGTTTACTCCTTTTCATAAAAGAAACAAACAAAAACTGTTTTTTCAGGACCAGCAGGTGGCGTGGTGGTTAAAGGTGTTAAATTCCCATTTGGCCAACCTCAGTTTAAGTCCCGGACTTGGCAGCTTGCTTTCTTGCTTTCCCTTTCTCTCTCTAGCTCTCTCTGATGAGTTAAAAAATAAATAACAAATGGAATTAAATACATAAATAATTATTTTTTAAAAAGTATTTTCGCTTTCTTGCTTCCCAGTCATCTTGGCAGCTGCTTTTGGTTGGGGGCCGTCCTGCACCTAAGGCAGGAAGATGGTAGCCGCAAAGAAAACGAAAAAGTCGCTGGAGTCGATCAACTCTCGGCTCCAACTTGCTATGAAAGATGGGAAGTACGTCCTGTGGTACAAGCAGACTCTGAAGATGATCAGACAAGGCAAAGCCAAGTTGGTCATCCTCGCCAACAACTGCCCAGCTTTGAGGAAATCTGAAATAGAGCACTATGCCATGTTGGCCAAAACTGGTGTTCATCACTACAGTGGAAATAACATTGAATTGGGCACAGCATGTGGAAAATACTACAGAGCATGCACACTGTCTATCATTGATCCAGGTGATTCCGATATCATTAGAAGTATGCCCGAACAGACCGGTGAAAAGTAAATCATGCAACATTTTTAATAAAGCTTGCCAGAGCTTGTTTTTTAAAAAAAAAAAAAAAAAAAGTTTTTTCTACTGAGTATTCTTCATTTCTGCTCTCTACTCTAATACTGTAATAATAGTACTAACATAGTATTAATAACTTAGTACTAAAACTTAGTATTTTGGGGGGCCAGCAGTTTGAGTAATGGCTATGTTGCTGAACTCCCATGTAGCCAGCCAACCGTGGTTCAAGCCCTGGACCCAGCAGCTTAAACTCACGCCAGGCATGTGTGCATGTGTGCCCAAGATCCTGAGAGGAGAATGGAGGAGAAGGGATTGTGGCGTGGCCATCCCCCCTGGGAAGTGATTTCTCGCTTTGTCTCTCTGTCTTTCTGGCAAGCGCATGTGCCCTACAGCAAAAACCTCTTAAATAAAAATAAATAAATAAATAAATAAATAAAACAAAAAACTTAGTATTTTCTATTTTCAAGTTGTTCTTAAATAGTACCTACTGTGTTTTAGGCCAGAGTTCATTATATGCACTTTTACTACGTAGCCTTACAACCTTAAGAAGTGTCTGTTTCTTCTCTGAATCAGGAATTTCTTGGGTGGGGGCAGAAGCACATGCTGTCAGTGAATTACCTGTACCAGGTAATCTTTTAGGAAATGTCATAGAGTAGGAGGTACGCCGTCTAGTCCGACAGGCCACTTCCCTCTCTTTATACAGCAACTGTTCATCCATCAGCAGTGTTATAACTTGTTTAGACTTTTCCCGGATATAATGACCTGAAAAATACAGATTTTTTTTTTAAAGAAAAGGAAATATTAGTTAAGGCTATGATTAGTCTTTGTTCTAAAGAAAATTAAGAATATAAACAAAGTGAAAAAAAAAAAACAAAACCATGTAGCAAACCAACAATTAAAAGAAAGAACTGTCAATAAGGACATTCCTTTTCTTATACTTCAAGAAGTAAATAAATCTGGGGGCCGGCAGGTGGCGTGGTGGTTAACAGTGCCAGACTCCCACATGCCCAACCATGGCTCAAGTCCCAGACCTGGCAGCTTCCTGGCAGCTTGCTTTCTCAGTTTCCTGCCTTTTTTTTTTTTTTTTTTTTTTTTTAAGAGGTTTGAGAAATATGGTGTGTGCGCTCGCCAGAAAGACAGAGAGAGACAGAGAGACAGAAAGTGAGAAATCACCCCCTGGGGGGATGGCCATGCTGCAATCCCATCTCCTCCATTCTCCTCTCAGGATCTTGGGCATGCATGCACATGCGCCTGGCATGAGTTTAAGCCACAGGGTCCGGGACTTGAATCATGGTCGCCTATGTAGGAGTTCTGCGATATAGCCATTAAACTAACTGCTGGTCCCTCAGTTTCCCTCTTTCTCTCTCTCTCTCTCTTTCTCTCGCCCTCTCTTTCTCTATCCCTCTCAGGTCAAATGAAAATAAATAAAGTTAAATAAAATAATAATAATAAAAGAAGAAAATAAATCATGAATACATGAGGAAATCAGCTAGCTGCAGAGGTGCAATGGTGATGCAACGTGTAATGTTCAAGCCAGGGGGAATGTCTCAAGTTCATATCCAGGGACCTCCCTAAGTACATGGGATACACACATGGAACACTGACTATATGGTGAAGCTTGTGTGGAAAAATGGTGAAATCACTGATGCTATATGAAAAGTTTATGGGAAAAGTACCAAAAAGAAATCAGTGGTATATAAATAGAAGAGCCAGTGGCATAGCAGTAACATACTATGCAAGAGAAACTGGATCCCACATGGTAACTACAGTTTGAATGCCTGGCCCAGTCAACCCTAAAAACTCCCAAAATATGCTTGAGTATTCAAGACCCAGTGTGTTTGAAGACTGGAGGAAGGAGATTGTAACATTAGTGGACCCTATGAAGGATAGTCCTCGCTCTATATATACCCTATCATGAATAATGAAAAAAAAATTTTAATGCAAGTGGACAACTTGTTTTAAGGAAAGATCAATGTTGAAAATGATACCCACAGTGGTAGACCATCCACATCAATTTGCAAGGAAAAAATTAATCTTGCTTGCGTCCTCATCAAAGAGGACCAGTGACTAAGAGAAGAGATAATGCCACCACCACAGATATCTCAACTGGTTCAGCTTACACAATTCAGATCAAAAAATGAAAGCTGAGCGGGAACCAGCAGTTAGCGTAATGACTATGTCGCTGGAATCCCACGTAGTTGACCGCGGTTCGCATCCCGGACCCGGTGGCTTAAAACTCCCGCTGGGCGTGTGCGTGCGTGCCCAAGATCCCGAGAGGAGAATGGAGAAGGGACTGCGGCGTGACCATCCCCCCTGGGGGGGGTGATTTCTCGCTTTCTGTCTCTATGTCTCTGTCTGGCGAGCGCACGCGTCCTATAGCGGAAACCTCTCTGAAAAATTAAAAATAAAAATAAATAAATAAAAAAGAAAGCTGAGCAAGCTTTCTGCTCAATCGTGCCCAAACTGTTAGCGTATATCAGCTGCAGACAAGTGCAGAGCAAAGATCATAGCAGTTTTGGGGGATGCTTGAGGCATTTGGCTTTCTGGAAGGCCAAAGAATGAAACGTCTTGATTATGAGTGGTCCAAGAAAGACGGCTGAAGCTTTAACACAAAAACACCCAGGAAAGCTTCACCCAAAAGTTCTTCTCTACCATGACAATGCTCCCGCTCATTCCTCTTGTCGAATGAGAGCAATTTTGTGAGTTTTGAAGGGAAGTAATCAGTCATCCACCTTACAGTCCCTCTTGGGCTTCTTCTGACTTGTTTTTGTTTCCTAATCCTAAAAAATCTTTAGAGGGCACCCATTTTTCTTCGGTAAATATAAAAAAGTCTTTACTGACATGGTTAAATTCCCAGGCCCCTCATTTCTTTAGGAATGGACAAAATGGCTAGTATTGTCACTTACAAAAGCATTTTGAACTTGATGGAGCTTACTGAAAAATTAAAGTTTGTGTGTGTGTGTGTGTGTGTGTGTGTGTATTTAAAGCTAAAGAACAGATTTATTTTTCATTTTCCCAAAAACTAAAATAACACACGGTATAATATAGTAATTTAGCACACAATATAAATTGATACGTGCAACTGATATCGTAAAATGATTGTTTTAGGTCTCATTTTGGGAGTCCTTAAAAACTTAGACTCTTAAAAAACAAACAATACATTTAATTCACACACACACACACACACATACACACACACACAAACTTACACTTAAGTCACCTTTATTAAATTTATCAACAAACAACAAAAGGAATTAGTTACCCTCAGAAAAATCTTCACGTAAAAAATACCTCAACTCCTTCAACATGGGAACTTCTTACAGGAGAAATACTTGATTTGCCTCTCTAAAACTGAGCTCTACCAAATAGTCTCAAGTCCGTTTTCTTTAAGGTAACACTGCTAGACTTCCTAGCTTGAGAAGTCTCTTCTAAAGGTAAGTTTAATATTGTAACTTTCACCATAGAGCCTCCATTCAAATTGCATTTCAAGGGGAAGGGACATGTGAAAAATCAAATTTTGCTGGACACTTTAATAACTATCCTACAAAATACAAAAACGGTAGCAGCTTATCATCAACTCAGCAAAGCTTAATAAAAGCATAGCAGGGCAGACTTTATAAATACCCACTTTCATTAGGTGATCAGAGACAAGCTGAAGACAGTATCTGGGACAGTAGCCATTCTGAATGGGTACTGAGATACATAAAAAATGTCATGTTACATCATTGTTTCAATCTGACTTATATACAGGATATATCAATATTCTCCTGAAATGGTTGCCCAAGTCTCAAGGTCTTTCGAGCACAATTTAAAACATGCTCAAAATTTTTCTTCTGCATCTATCAGCATTTGGTGAGTTTAAACATGATGAACTTTTTATCTTTTAATTCCATTTATCCCCAAACCATTTTTTAACTTGCTATAGGGCATGTGTGCTCACCAGAGAAAGAGACAGATAGAAAGTGAGAAAGAGACAGAGATAGAAAGAGAGACAGAGAAAGTGAGAAAGCACCCTCCAGGGGGGATGGCTACACCACAATCCCTTCTCCATTCTCCTCTAGGGATCTGGGGCATGCATACCCACATGTCCAGAGTGTTTTTCAAGCTTCTGGTCCTGGGACTTGGTAGTCAGCCCTGTGGAATTCAGCCACGATATCCACACCACTGGCTGGCCCTATCCACAACATTTTTAGGGAAAGGGGTGTAGAGGGGAGTTTGCCATAGTGCATGTCTACTTGCAGGACAGAGACAGAGAGGGGAGGAATGAAAAATCATGTCCCACCCCCTTGGACAGGATGGCCATGCCACAATCCTTTTCTCCTCTGTTTTCCTCCTGGAATTTTGAGCATGCACGCACAGACACATACACCCAACATATTTTCAGGCCACCAGACCCAGGACTCAAACTGCAGTCATGTGGGACTCCAACATCTTAACCACTATGCTACCTGCCAGCACCCCCCACC